AGAAAAACAAAAATAGTCGAAAGCAATAATAACAACAATAATAATAATAATAAAATAGCAGGAAAATATATGAGAGACAGCGAAAATGCTATGGAACTTGGATGATTAAAACGAAATTCAAAGTCATTAATTTACCCAAAATGGAAAAAAAAAATATTAAAATTAAGAAGCGGAAGTAATCATGTAAATAAAAAGCAAAGAGATGTTCAGAAAAGTAATAAATAAAACTATTACAAAAAACTAAAATTAGCGAAATGGCTAACATTTATAACAGGTATAAATATAAGGAGGAGAAGGAAGTAGACGAGAAGGAAGAGGAGGAGGAGGAGGAGGAGGAGGAGGAAGAAGAAGAGGAAGAGGAAGAGGAAGAGGAAGATATTGATCAGCTACTTGAGGCTACCTTCGCCCCAAATAAAAAAAGGAAAGAAAAAATTAGAAAAATAATGAAAAACAGATAAAAATTAGAAAAAGAAGGAAAAACAGATATAAATTAGAAAAAAGAAAGAAAACAATAAAAATTAGAAAAAATAATGTGAAAAGATAAAAAAAATAGAAATAAAGAAAGAAAAACAATAAAAATTAACTAAAACTAAAATTAGCGAAATGGCTAACATTTATAACAGGTATAAATATAAGGGGGGGGAGGAAGTAGACAAGGAGGAGGAGGGGGAGGAAGAGGAAGAGGAAGATATTGATCAGCTACTTACGCTACCTTAGTCCCAAATAAATGTGAAAATAGGTTTGGGCAGTAATTACATTGTAGGATGTTCCAATATTATAACCTATTTTATAAAGAAAACTCATATGAACTTAAAAAAAAAAAAAAAAACATTTCTGCGTTTTAACCTTATTTACTTTTAGTCACTTCATCCCAAGCATTATGCCACTAGAACGCAAGAGGCTACTGGGAGTGAAAGAGAACGACAAAGAATTCAGAAAGAACCGGAAACGCAAATCAAAACAGAAATCAAAGAATAAACCACTACTGCTGTTAAAAAGACAGTAGAAGAGTGTGAACCGTATGATAGATGAATCAATAAAAATATAGTATAAAAAATAATAGAAAAAAATAAATATTATCAATTTCAGAGTTTAGGCGGATATATTGGAACTATATACTTGAATTAGACTTTACAAAGAACGGGAAAGCCGACCCTAAAAAAGAAACAAAGGATAATCCACTATCCTGTTCAAAAGATTAGGAAGGATTGTGAACTGGATGATAGAAGATTCACAGTCTTCCTCAGTTTATCCCTTGTTTCTTGTTGAGGATATGATTTTCGGTCACTTCTATAGTCTACTTCAACGATATAGAGCGACTATCTTCTTCTCTCATGCAACATGCCCCATTATGATATGTGTGATCATGGCTCTCCACAGCTTCCTGTTCAAGTTCAAATGGGATATTTGTCCCTTATCCACCACTTGTTCTCCCATCTATTTACATAATCTCATTAATAGGTTGCTCGCTGTTTTTCCCTTTTTTGCTTTCAGTGTGTTTTGTTAGAGTCAAATAATCAATATTCTCTTCCCTCATTAGTTTTTTTATAAATTGGTTTAATGGAGTAAAAGGCTCGAGAGCCTATCAAGGTAGAGTATTACTAAATAAGAAGTGAGGAACATGTGGATATGGAGAATAGACACCGAGTGACCCTTGACTTGAAGTCTGTTCCACAAAACTGCTGTAATTGAGAAACGATTGTCTGGTTGAAAGTTCCGACTCAGAAGTGGATTACGGATTGATCTGGGACGGTTCGAACCCATGCACTTAATCAGACGTCTTAAAGGCAAAACCAGTGAATTGTTGGAACTAAAGAATGAAGCTTTTCTGAACACTTGCCATGAAAACACCGAGATTAGAAGCAACCTTGCGACGTTGCACCAGCGGAAAAGAGGATTCAGTACTAAGTATGACAAGAAGGGGGAGAAGGAGGACGAGAGTTGTAGTAGTAGTAGTAGTAGAGAAGAAGAAGAAGAAGAAGAAGAAGAAGAAGAAGAAGATAATGAGGGAAGAGAATTTTGAATATTTGACTCTCTCAGGGTATACTGCAGGCGAATTGACAGAGGGAAACAAAGAATAACATATTAATGAAATTGTGTAATTAGACAGTAGAACAGGGGCTAGATAAGGGACAAATACCCCTTAGGATTATAATGAATATACAACTGTGGAGAGACATAATCACCCGTGTCATAATGAGACATAATGCATGAAATAAGAAGGTAATCGGTCTATATATTTGAAGTAGAGATTAGAAATAACCGGAAACCCGAACCCTAAACATGAAACGATGGATAAAGCTCTATTCGCGTTCAAATGAACGAGGAGGAGTATGAATCGCCTATCGTTCACTTCACACTCCTCCAGGGTCTTTATGAACAGGAGTAGAGGTTTATCCTTTGTTTCTTGTTTAGAAATGGTTTTCTGGTTCTTTCTAAAGTCTGCTTCAATTCTATACTCCTAACGTCTCCCACTAAACTCTGAAACTTATACTATTTAGTTTTCTGCTCAATAGGGGTAAATTGACGGTTCTCTCTGGTCTTCTGAGAAGAAGAAGAAGAAGTAGAAGAAGAAGAAGAAAGAAAGAAAGAGGAGGAGAAGACGAAGAAGAAGGAGGAGTAGGATGAGAAGAAGAAGATGAAGAAGAAGAAGGATGAAACGAAGAAGAAGAAACAATTTATTTTTGCAAAAGAATTTGATGAGCTAAAAAGAAGAAATAGAGTAGCCACAAAGAAGAAGAAGAAAAAGAAGAAAAAGAAGAGCAAAAAGAAGAAGTAAAAGAACAAGAAAAAGAAGTGGAAAAAGAATAGCCACAAAGAAGAAGAAGAAGAAGAAAAAGAGAAGCGACGAAGAAGAAAAAGAAGAAAAAAGAATAACCACCAAGAAGAGGAGGAAGAAGAAAAAGAATAAGAAGAATAGGAAAAAGAAGAGGAAAAAGAAGAAGAAGAAAAAGAGGAACCACGAAGAAGAGGAATAAGAAAAAGAAAGGAAAAGAGGAACCAAAAAGAATAAGACGATCCACGAAGAAGAAGAAGAAGAAAAAGAAGAAGATTTACTTTTGCGAAAGAAATTGATAAATTCTTAAATATAAGGATCTGGTATTAAAAAAAATAAGTGTTAAACTGCTGCGTAATACCAGTTCTCCTATAATATGGAAGTCAATGCTAGACAATTTCCTCGCAGATTAAGAAAAGACTTGAGGCAACAGACGCGGAACTACTCACTGAAGTAAGACTTACGGCCATCCCGTTAAAACATCAGTTTTCTTGCGATGACCAAAATTGAGAAATGTTGCCTCTGATTACTACTTAGATGGGTGAGTACTTGTAAATGCCAAAAGTTTAGATGTACCATTTATGTAATGAATAAGTGCTCAGAATTGGAAATCAGAAAATCAAATTAAAATACCAGTCGTATTCGTTATAACCACTTGTGCGCGAATACACTTCGGAAATGTATGAATCCACATTTTCTCCCGTTCAGTTATGGGTCAGTCAGTAGTACTTATACCAGTAAATAAATATTATCCCCACTAAATTCTCACAATCTTAAAAAAAATAAGATTCTGGCTTTAAATAACCTGCAGAAAGCTGATAAACCGTAAAAAATCAGCAAGGATCCTGAGAATACCATAGACGCGGCGTATGAGTAGTGGGGAAGTTTTAATGAAAATGAAATCAAAAATGAAATTATACATCAAATCTTAAAGAAAATATTGAGTGGAAAGATGGCAGAACAGGTAGTGAGAGTGATATGGAGACTTTCTGATAAAGATGGATTTCATGGATGTTTCTATCTCTATGCATCAGTATGTTAGTAGAAGGTTGAACAAATATTTAGTTTTTACAGGACAATTGAAAAGAAATCTGGAAAAGAATGATGTTAGTTGCGCTTTTTAATGTTGAATTTTTTGGAACGATGAAAAAAAAAAAGACAAGAAAAAAAACAGCCACGAAAAACTGGAAATCTACGGAAGAATCGAGGTCACCCAAACGACACGATTACTGAAAAAAAAATTAATATTCAATATTAATAACACTATTGAAGAATATTGATGTCAACTTAAATCCCAAACTACTTGAAGATGCTGAAAAATGTTCGGCTTTCTCAAGACGAAATTCGCAAAACATCTGATATCTAGTCATTTGTTTTGTTTTTCCCTTTTTCATTAGGTATTTCCTTCTTTTACTCCTTCATTTTTTTCTTCTCCTTCTTCTTCTTCTTCTTCTTCTTATTATTATTATTATTATTAATAATAATAATAATATTAATGATAATGATAATAATAATAATAATAAAAGTTTTACCAGATGTGCAGGAAAATTCGCTCATCCTCAAATATGAGCGAATAATAATAATAATAATAATAATAATAAGAAGAAGAAGAAGAAGAAGAAGAAGAAGAAAAACGACACGATTACTGAAAAAAATATTAATATTCAATATTAATAAAATTATTGAAGAATATTGATGTCAACTTAAATCCCAAACTACTTGAATATGCTGAAAAATGTTCGGCTTTCTCAAGACAAAATTTGCAAAACATCTGATATCTAGTCATTTGTTTTGTTTTTCCCTTTTTCATTAGGTATTTCCTTCTTTTACTCCTTCATTTTTTTCTTCTCCTTCAATTTCTTCTTCTTCTTCTTTTTCTTCTTCTTTTTCTTATTAATAATATTAATAATAATGATAATAATAATAATAAAAGCTTTACGAGATGTGCTGAAAATTCGCTCATCCACAAATATGAGCGAATAATAATAATAATAATAATAATAAAAAAATAATAATAATAATAATAAAAATAATAATAATAATAATAATAATAATAATAATAATAATAAGAAGAAGAAGAAGAAGAAGAAGAAGAAGAGGGAAAATTTAATGAAAGAAGACACTCTAAGTATGAAAGGTTCGTTGTAAAGATATTTCAGAACAGAATATGAAAAAATATCATAGAATATGGAATGAATATCGAGAAAAGAAATCATCCATTGAAGAAAGAAAGAAAGAATGAAAGAAAGACAGGTAAGAAATATATAAGAATGAGGAAACGTGTTGAAGTAGTTAGCAAGAAAAGAAGAACAAGAAAAAGAATGGAATATTTAATGGAAGTTGAAACGACTTTCAAGTTAGTCGTGAAAATCGAGTAGAAAAAAAGGCGGAAATATAAAAAATGCATCATACATGAAAGGAAGTATTAAACAGAGGAAGGAAAGAAGGTGAAAAAAAAGAAAGAAAGAAGAAGAGGATAGTTAATGAAAGAAGAGAAAACGCACCGAATGAAAGCTGTAAAAACAGATTAAAACCAGGGAAATAGAAAAGGCTAATAAAAAAAATACATGAACATTGAGAAAAGGGTAAGAATGTATTGAATTGAAAAGAGATAAGAAAAAAAGGAACCACGAAGAAAAAGAAGAGAACGACAAAGACGAAGAAAACGAAGAAGAAGAAGAAAAGAAGAAAAAGAATAGCCATAAAGAAAAAGAGGAAAAAGAGGGAAGAAGAAAAAGAAGAGGAAAAAATTAGAAAAAAAGAAGAGGAAAAAGAAGACAAAAAAGAGGTACAACGAAGAAGAAAAAAACGAAGAAAACTAAGACTAAGATAAAAAGAGATAACACGAAGAAGAAAAAGAGGAACCACGAAGAAGAAGACGAAGAAGAAAAAGAGAAGAGGAAAAAGAAGAAGAAAAAGAAGAGGAAAAATTAGAAAAAAAGATGAAAAAGAAAAAAGAGGAAACACGAAGAAGAAAAAGAGGAACCACAAAGAAGAAGACGAAGTAGAAAAAAAGAAGAGGAAAAAGAAGAAGAAAAAGAAGAGGAAAAATTAGGAAAAAAATGGGGAAAAAGAAAAAAGAGGAAACACGAAGAAGAAGAAAAAGAGGAACCACGAAGAAGAAGGTAAAAGAAAAAAAAGAGTAGCCACAAAGAAGACGAAAAGAAAAAAAAGAAGAAGAAAAAGAAGAGGAAAAATTAGAAAAAAGAGGAAAAAGAAAAAGAGGAACCACGAAGAAGAAGAAGAAGAAGAAGAAGAAGAAGAAGAAGAAGAAAACCGTAGAAGAGGAAGAAATCTAAGAAGACAAAAAAGAGGAACCACGAAGAAGAAGAAAAAAGAAGAAAAAGAAAAAAAACAGTAGCCACAAAGTAGGAGAGGAAAAAGAAGAAAAAGAGAAGCGGAAAAAGAAGTAAAAGAATAAGAAGAAGAGAAACCACGAAGAAGAAGAAAAAGAAGAAAAAGTATAGCCACAGAGAAGAAGAGGAAGAAGATGAACAAGAAGAAGGAGGGAAAGAAGAAAAAGAGGACGAAAAAGAATAAGAAGGATAGGAAAAAGAAGAAGAAGAGTAAAAAAAGAAGACGTGGCAAAGAAGAAGAAGAAAATGAGGAACCACAAAGAATAAGAATAAAAAGAAGAACCACAACGAAGAGGAATAAAAAAAATAGAAAAAGAGGAACAAAGAACAATAAGACAAACCACGAAGAAGAAGAAGAAGAAGAAGAAGATGGAAGAGGAGGAGGAGGAGGAGAAGAAGAAGAAGAAGAAGAAGAAGAAGGAAGAGGAGGAGGAGAAGAAGCCTCGTTCGAGCAGAACTGGGAAGATGTCAGAGAAGTTATACCAAGAATAAACACGAAGGAAGGAAGAATAAGAGGAGGAGCCGGAAGAGATAAATGACTGGAAAACAAGAAATGCGGCTGGCGATAAAATGAAAGGCAGAGGGTAAAAATGCAGCGCAAAACAAAACAGCGGAAAATGTCGGTTAGGGAAAAAAAATCGCAAGGCATGAAAGCGAAAGTGAAAGTAAAGTGATTTAATAAACATGGCACCGCGATGCCTCAATCGACTGACTCAACCTAGATTGGTGTTTTTACCCTTTTAGACGAAAATGCTTTCAGCACGTCCATTTGAATAATTACTTTCTCACCCAACAATTGTGCACTTTTTCCCAACCTATCCCACACACCTCCACCGTTTACCCCTATCCCTTCCCCCCCGCAAATTCCCTTCTCTTTGCGTTTCCTGTTGCTGACGGGGTTGAGCTCCGGCTAACATTGTGTGGTTTCGCTCGGCTAGATCTGATGTTTTGTGCACGTTCGCAACGAAATGTCTTTTGAAAGAAGCGAATAAAATGAGCATAGTCTTGTTGTTCCAGCTTTTATTGTTTAATCATTTAAAGCGCATTTTCAGGTAGTCTTTAATTCTTATGTATGTTTGCTTGCATCGATTATTTGCGGATTATTTCTTCTTCTTTTTTCACATTATGGAAGGATTTAAGAAGAGAAGGCTGTTACCCGGCATTAGTTTATTTTTATTTTTTTGTAAATCTTATTTTTTTATTATATTTTATTATTATTCTATTAGCCATCATTTTGAGAGGAAGACGCCATTTGTTTTCTATATTCTAATTTTCATGATTATCATACTTGATATTAATTAATTTCTTTACAAATTATTACTGCATTTTGTGCTATCATTATATCTTTTCGGATAGGTTGATGTAGCACAGCGTGAGCCTAATTACTGCCCGACAACAATAAATACCACCCGACAGTGCAGACATCCGTTCAGACATGCTAAAACTAAAATAGACCGGAATTTTATTTTTATTGTGAGAAAATATCATTATGAAATACTTTACTATTTGGATTAGCATGGTGATCTTTGGATGAACAAGTATTTTAACTGTCATCCGGGTCGGAAGATGACAAAGACGGCAGATTTCAATTTTTGTTACGTTCACTTTCCGACTAATGCCCATGAGGGAAGCATGAATCCACTTCTTTTCCCTGTCAGCTATATTGGAAATCACAGGGTAGACGGGACTCTCTAGATCTGCGTAGCAACCACTATCAGGAGAAGAACACTTCAGAATTGCGAATTGAGAAACGGCTGTCTGGTTGAGACTTCCGGCTCAGAAATGGATTACAGAGGGAGCTGGGGCGGTCCGAAACCGTGAACATACTGACAAACATAAAAAAGAACTGAATTGTTGGAACTAAAAAATGAAGCTTTTCTGAACATGTGCCATGAAAATACCGAGATTAGAAACAGGCATGTGACGTTGCATCAGCGAAAAAGACGATGCTGAGGGGGTAGTATTATGTCAAGAAGGAGGACGAGTATTATTATTATTATTATTATTAGTAGTAGTAGTAGTAGTAGTAAAAGAAGAAGATGATTAAGAAGATAATGAGGGAAGATAATTTTGAGAATTAGAATCTCTCAGGATAGACTGATGGAGGGCAACAGGAAACTACTCCACTATCTTTCTTAAAAATTCACAGATTGTAGAAAATTGACTAATGCATGGAATAATAATGCAACACAAAATGTACTTAGAACAAAATGTATTGAAACAAGAAAATGTACACAATATTTACATATAGTCTTTTGTATATTCCTGGGAAGACCGTTCCTGGAGAATGGGTTGAGTCAGTCGCAGTCGGGCAGAGTCTCTGGATTGAATCTCTTGATTCCTCCACTTCTCTTCCCGGTACCAACCATATTTATATGGTCGGTACCCCACTATGCAAATTAGGTGGATCCTACCACAACACAGATGATGACAAGAAATATGTTAAGAGGGATAATCGCCTTCAAACATTTAAGCTAAGTTTTAAGGATTTGCTAAAATATATCCGGTTACCTTGCAGGTCGGTGTTCAATTCACGGGTCTGGTAGTGCTGGATATTTACAGACACTAATTCAGTTGAAGAAACGGAATAAAAAAATGAAACACAGATGAATAAGAATAATACTCACCAATATTGATTGATAAGAAATAAATGCGCAAAAAATGGGAAGGATCAATCGCCGTTGATTGAATAAAGGGTTCGAATCGATATTCCAATAGTATGACGATAAAGTACATCCCGTAGCAATCGGCCCTGATCGGGAGGTTTTGAGTAGCCGGGAACCACCTCTTGAATACTATTGTTCCCAGGTTCACTATGACCGGTGGTGGTAGCAGCTGTTAGGGACCCAGCTATGGGAAAATAGTGAAAATGTTCAAAGAAAGACAAAACAGTTTGAATGTATGAAAAATAATGTTTTATAGCAAAATGACCAACAATATATTTTATTCTAGAAATACTAACACTACATTTTATTGCAAAATAACCAGCGATACATTTTATCTGTAGTTGGATGCGTACAATTGCTTTCAAAATATATATAGCTGAAGCCATAAAATTGTTCAATATATTTAGATTTAGCCATTAAATAACTCATAGTTGTTGATATTCCTCAAACGATATCGACCAACATGAAAGATCTTTCATGGCATTAGTCTATATAATATCCTACAATTTCTTAACGAAATCAAACTATACAAAAATATAACTTAAACGAGACTGCAACATAAAACACACATATCACTGCCTCTAGTAATTACATTCGCACAAAAAATGATTATCCAGAAAAGCTGAGTATAATCCACCAATCCATTTTTGGTTACTCTCTTGCTTGGGTGGCTCTTGGGCCTTTTATTTGGTGAACAGTATTATAAAAATTCCACTAAACAATTATGTATCTCTTCAACATGTCTACATTGTTTATATCTACAAAATCTCTCGAACAAATTTAATAACTATAGTTTTTAAAAAAATCAAACATAGTAAGATTTAATTATTTCTATACAGAATTGATATAATGGAATATGCGTACCCCTGTGTTTCCCCTCACTGGAATATGATTGGCTGGTGTCCGTCATAAATACCGACGGACGTGTAGGTATGAGAGTCAAGAGCCTTAGTGTGAGAGCTAAGTCTATAAGGACGCCCATTGGACTACGCCATTGATCTACACTTCTTACCTGCGACTACGACGCGTACCAGTAGATTACTGCTACCGTATTCTACTTGGTTATACTATACCAAAACCACTTAGCTACTTCGTACAAATATATCGCTTTCCGGGACATATCAAGAATTAACGTTGATAAAATCAAGTGTTATTTATGGCTAACCTTTAGAGAATTAGCAATACAATATTATTACCAATGATATTTAATTATCAACAATATATTTTAAAACAGAATAACCAACGGTAAATTTTATACCAAAATGGCGCAGTGGATAAAGGCGTTGGTTAGATTCAGTGACAGACCCAAAGAAGGTGAGTTCAATTCTTGGTTAAGGCAGTGGAGAACTTTCAGAGGGAAAATTAGCAGGAGATAACTGATAACTGACATCCATCAAACGTGGAACTAGAACAGTCTACCCCAGCGATCGAAATAAAGGGTTCAGTTCGAAATTCCAACCACCTGAAGAAGGCCGGAGCGTACAACGGCCGAAACGTTGTGACAAATATGGCTACAAAGATGAGGAGAATAGTCCGACTAATGTAAATACTGTACATAATACCTCATCTCAGAAATATAGACAGATTCCAAAATGACCAACTCTACATTTTACCTGTAGTTGAAGCCATCAAACTATATTCAAAATATATAGGTTCCGGCATTAAATAGATTTTGATATGCCGCTAAGCAAAATAACCGATCGATATGAAAAGAACTCTTTCAGGATATTAATCTTTATAATAACCCACCATTTTCTTAAAGAAATCAAACTGTATTTCAAAATATAACTTCAACAAAACTACCACATAATACACACATATCACTGCCTTTAGTAAATTTGATCACACAAACATGATTATGCACAAAAGCTGAGTATCATCTACCAATCCATCTTTATAGTAAAATTACCAACAATATATCTTTAAAGAAAATGCCGAGTAATACATTTTATTGAAGAATTAACAGCAATACATTTTATAGCAAAATTACCAACATTACAGTTGATCTTTCGTCGAAGGCATACAATTGCGTTAGTTGAAGGCATAAAATTGTGTTCCAAATATTACCATATCGGCATTAGATAACTTATAGAGGTATTGGTATGCAGCTAAACAAAATCAATCAACCAAATAACCAAAAGGAAATAACTCTTTCATGACATTAATTCATATAATATCCTCCAAATTTTTAAAGAAAGAAAATTGTATTTTAAAATATAACTTTAAACAAACTACAATATAAAACACATATATCACCTCCTCTAGTAATTATGTCCATAAAAAAACGTGATTAGGCAGGAAAGCTGAGATTCATCTAACATGTATTCCAATGTGAAAGCATAACATGTATGATATTTTTATTACATCAAAGCTCCCAAGAAAACTAAATTTTGGCATTAAATGACCCATAAGATGTCGATATACCGTTAAACAAACACATAATCAATCAATCAATCGAGATTCCAAGAAGTTTAAAACAATGAACTGATGAAAACCTGAGAATACAGTTGCTGAAACATTGGGGCTACACGAATGCGTGGACGAGTGGTTTGAATATTTGCTTTTCAACTACGATACCTGGGTTCGAATCCCACCTTCGTGATGTCGGAAAGCGACTTAAAACGATACCTAGGTTTGGGCCCAATTTTATCAGTGAAACTGTCTATAAGGAACTGTTCGAAACCCGGCGATATTTTCGAAATTCCAAGCAAAGGTGTGAGTGAACTTTGATCCCCCCAGATTATGCGGTCTCTCCCAGAAAGTGTAACTGAGCTTGCAGTACAAAACAACGGGTTTACTCTGTGGCTGTTCCACAAAAAAAAAAATAACATAAAAAAAACATAATTTGTCTGATCGTCTGCAACATGAATTGGCTAACTATCATAACAGACGATTGTCCTCTCAAACGAGTTGGATATTATATTAACCAAAGTAATCTGCGTTTTTGTTATTCGTAAAATGGTCTACCAAGCGGTCATTGTTAACACCAACATCTTCAAATTTTGTTAACCTCCGTTACATATTTATCAAACAATCTGTTATATAGAAATAAAGGATCGCTGCCGACACTTGAGTTTGAACACAGATCGCCAGTGAGCAAACACAGGCAATCCCATTATTGAATTAAGTAGACCATGTGACGATAGAAAAAAAGCATATATGGGAGGTAGCGTGTGTCTAATTGATCGTTATTTCTATTCTGTCCTCTATACGGACCGCTATTCTCTACTCTATTCACTATACTATTTCTCTATTCGAATCACTATACTGGTTACTATTCGATCGAGTATTATCGAGCAAGTACTATTAGTGCGAGTGTTACTCGAAGGCGTCTG